TTTACTTCATAGGTAACACCTTACTACAAGTGTGATAAATGTTATATATGTGGACTATCCCAGACCATTTATTTTGGGTCCCCTATGCTTTATGTGGTCCTTCCAAAGCAAGGCATTGGAATCCACATGATTTATACTAAGTGTTAATTACTGTATGTCTTTCCCACATGCACCTTGGCAAGTTGGTAGCTTGGAATCTTCCCCCAGAATGGTACTGACCCTGTAAGGGTGTGTAAAGTGTGCTTTGTGTATGTCTGGGATGAAGGAGCAGGGAAAAGAGGAACATTCACAAGGCTGTCAAAGGAGTAAAAACAAGCTGTGTTATTTGAAAGTGATTTTGATTCTCCACCTGCTGAAGGATTCATAGACAGACAGAGGATGGATGACCATTGTTGAAGGCTTTCTAGAATTTTCTTAACAAAGTATGTAATTATGACAGTCTCTCTGTATTAAAAAGCAGCCCCAAAGTCAACTGCATTTCTTTTAAACTGTATATTATTTGCAATAATAACTTTGAAATTAAAAAAAAGTTTCTAATCTGGTAGTAGGAAATTTGTATTCATTTTATTGTGCTGGCCTGTATCTATTGGCTGGTGCCTACAAATATCTGTTTTTTTCAGGGGCAGGTAAAAAATGTGTGTAGTGTCTGAGAGCAAATGTGGTAAGGGAATTCAATCTGAAGACACAGGATTCATAGATTTTAATGCTTGGAGACACATGGGTTGATTATTAATGCCATCTTGATTTTTTTCAAAACAGTGGTGGTGTTTGAGGTACTATGTTTGACTCCAAAGCTAATATGTTTGGTATTTAGGAATCTGGCAGGAGAGAGCTCTGTCCCCTGTGCAGGCACAGCAGTGAGACTGGGAGGTAGGCATGCATAACTGTTATTTCCCCCCGTCTGTCCTATCCCTAGAAAGCCATATGCCACCCTTAGGCTAGTGTAATGGGAGTCTGCATTAATGATTATGAGCTAGAAATAATCCAAGAAGAGTTGAGTGGCCTTTGTTTCTAGTTTTACGAGAAATACCTCATTGACTCTGCCTGAAATATATGCTGGGATCAAAAGTCATATTTAATACAAAGTTTCATGATGCCCTTTCTTGAAATTTTTGGTTGCTGGTTTGTTTTTCTTGTCCTAAATTGGTCGGGGACTTGGAGATTCTTAAGTCTAATAGGCAGAGTAGGAATTTAAGCAAGAAGGTAAAAATTTAGAGCAAGTTGTTGACTCACCTACTATCAAAAATAAGCATCTTGAGCATACATCTCTAGAGAACCTATGCTCTGCAAGATTTCTAAAACCACTGAATGCCTTGTCTGTTGGCAGCCTGCAAAATGAAAACTGTACGTGTGCATATGTAGAAGTGGTGATGGGAAAAGGAGAATGTGGAAATGGGCTGGAGTATTAAAGCAAGCAATGAAAGCAGATGGTTTTCTTTGGATTTTATAAAATAGGTTTATCTTAATTTTGTTTTAAATGAAAACCAGGAAACGTCACCATTGCAAAGCTATTTGTAGCTGTGCCATAAGCATTAGGATGCAGTTGTCCTTAATCATAAAAGGGCCAAGGTTTTTTTGGCTGCTTCCCATCTTCGTGTTTATAGAATTGTGTTTGGTCTGTATGCATTAGAGTTGAGCAATTTCATCACAGCCTTTCCTCAAAATTGATTACTGTTCAGTGACTCTTCCTTCTCCTTCTCCATTGTCAGTTGGTTATATCTCAGACTCTCATTACATTTAATATTGATACTGCTTCAATTTTTCACTAACTGGAAGAGTTGAAGAGTCTGGAGTGGATACTGAATGTCTAGATATATTCTTTAAATACTTGAATTCCTATCATTCTGGACCATGATAAATTTAGAGCTGGATTACTGCTTTAGGAAGAAGTGACTGTTTGCTCATTCAGTGATGAAGTCTGGTCATCAAGATGTTGGAATATGTGTTGCAGAGTTCTTCAGATACTGACATGAATGTAAAAGTTGTTGCCAACAGCTGCCTTGGGTTTTGGGCACCTGCTGCCTCTCATTTCTTGCATCTCCCACTCTATCTTCCGCTCCTGAAGCTGGCAGTGCCCCCAAAAATACTCTCTGTTGAGTTCTTAAGTAGGAGATCTCTACCAAGCTGGTAGTCTGGATTCCTGAGTCATTGGTCACACTGCAGTGCAATCTGTTCTGTGACAGTTCTTGACTGTGGCAAGGAAATGGACTTCAGGGGGAAGCTGGTTCCAGTCAGGTAACAAAGGCATTGTCCTTCCAAAGGCCACTGCCCTGTGCTCATCCTTTCTCCCTCTCTGCCAATCACAGAGCTGTGCTTTGATTGCTCACTGCCATTTTTACATTTCCCCAGAGTGTGACAGACTTGAGTGGTGTGCATGATGTGTAAGGCTGATGTAGTGTATAGTGAGTCTGGGAAAAGTAGCTGGGAATTGCCCTTAGGAGTGAAATACAATTTTGGTGCTGTTTTCTTGATGCCTTTGGAAGTTGGACTGTTGATACAAACATGGGAATGAATAATCAATGCTCAAGTGTGGAATTTGCAGAAGCACAGATGTATTACTCGTGTAGTTCCCATATCCAAATGTCTGTATGAATCCCTAGGACAGAGGCTGCTGCTTTGGCCTGTGAGCCTGTTTCAGTAACCTTTTGTTTCTGATACAGTTAGGAGGAATATCTTGGCTGGGTTTTGGCCTCAAACAATTAAGTCCAGTATTTATTCTGGTTCCTGTGGTTGCTGTCCAATGGGTTATCTGGAAGAGAAAAAAAACCTTTCCAACGGAAGAGTTCAGAAGTATTGACCAAGGGTGTTGAAAGATGACTTGTATCCCAGGGCTGGAATTATAAAACTTGTAAGCTGCCATCTGGGAGCTGGAAGTGAAGCTCACTTAGGGAGCAAGGAAACCAGATATTGCTCATTTCTTAAATGGATTGCTTAAAGTTCAGTTAGATTAATGGATAGGCTGTCTGTTGTTACCAAGACTGGTAAATACAGGTCTGCAAAGACATCTTGGCACAGGCTTAGAAGTTAGCAAAACTTAAACCAGTAGCCCTCTTGAGTTTTCCTTTTTATATTATTTTATTGGTGTATTTTATTTAGTCAGGGTTTTTTTTTTTTTTTTCCCAATGCAGCAGTATGTACTACTACACATTCTAATTTTCCTGTTTCCATTCAGTGGAGTGTATCTATTCCTATTCTTGGAGTAATAATTTTTCTCTCTCCTGAAGGTTGACAGAATTAGAATATTGGCAGCACTGCAGAAGAGATGCTCTGTGATTAGTAACAACGTTATATTATCTAAAACTCTGATTCTGCTGTGTGCATTGTATCTTATGGGACACATATTGGTGATAGGGCTGTTCCTTCTCCTTGCTCTCATTTCTCAGCCCCTGTCCAGTGCCACTGAGTTAGTACCTTTTGTTTATTTTGTCATGTGAGTGTTTGTCCACCAGCAATGTGTCATTTCATGGCTCAGGCACCCGGGGATGACAGATGTACATCCAGTAAAGAGTTAGTGGTGTGCATGACCTACCTGCTGAAATAATAGCAGGCACCATGAAGAGTGCTGTGTTCCTCCTGTCCATCTGCTGAGAATGGACAGACCTGTAATTGCTAAAATGTAAAAATGAAATTAAACTCATCTGTCCTGGCTGTAAAAATCATCAGGAAGAAAAATGTTATTCAAAGCAGGCTTTTGTCAAGATTGGTCAGTGATTACCAGTAAACACCTGTTGTGTATTGGTTTGTTTGGCCAAGGACTTGATGCTGCTATATCAAATCTATCTGCAGAAAGGGGGAATTGGCTCCCCTCAGTTCAAATGTAGATGTTCAGTTCCAACCCTCTAAGCTGGTGCAAAGGATGAGGATGGACGACACACATATCTCATAACACATCATCCCTCAGTTACATGAAACAGTCTCTGTGTGCCATTAAAATGATGACAGATCCCATAAAAACATTACCCTCCACTGTCTGCTCCCTCTGGCAGTGAACTATGACCAAGAGGAAAGTTCCTTGTGCCCTGTCAACTCCCCTCAAGTAAATAATCATAATGAAAAAGGGCCAGCCATTCTGAAGTTCCTGCTTAGCCAATGTGCTGCTGATTGAAGGTAGCCCTGAGAGGCAGGGAAGGCTTGCAGCCCTTGACAGCAAATGAGAGCTGTGCCTGCCTCATAAATGCCTTGGCTTCAAAAGGAGGTGGTTATGGGCATGAAATGTTTATCATCTTGTACTTGCCTTGCTGCTGCTGGCTTACTGTGTAAGTAAAAAGTAGTAACAAGTAAAGAAGAGGCAATACTGCAGTCTGTTTTATCTGCTTGTCTGCACACTTAAATAGGCTTGTGGGCAAAAGAAAAGGAGCAGGTGGAGGCAGCTTGGCTTTGACAGAGGTTTGGACTCTGCACTCAAGAGGTTTTCAGTTGCCTATGAAGGGGAATCTGGTTGGGAACCTGATCAGACAACTGGCTTTCTGTTAGGAATCACTCTGAAATTGCCCATGGCGGAAGATGACTTGCTATGTAGGTCAGCTTGTGCATTCAAAAATGTCCTTTAAAAGATTACTTGTTCTTAGCATGTAATTGGAAGCAGCACAGTTGTTGACCACCTCCTTTTGAGTCTGCCCAGCACTGGCACATTCACTGGTACACGTTGTGTATCAGCATCTCCAACACATGCAGCACCCTGCATGGCTCCCTGGAACTGGCTGCTTCCCAGCTTCCTTTGCTTAGCTCCCACCCTAAATGGGGGTCCTGCAGCAGGCTGTGGGGGCTTTGCTCTGGTTTTTGTTTAGGGGGTGCATGAGCTTTTGTTTTGCTTTTACAGCACAGTTCCCAACAGGGGACAGCACTGCATTGCTTACGATGCTTGTCATTTTAAAGGAACTTTTCTAAACTTGTCATCTTAAAAGCTATAGTGCACAGCAGCAGGCAGCCTCCAAAAATCACTGATTTCTCTTTTTCTTCTCTTTCCCTTCCTTTCTATCTTGTGCTGTCTTTATTCCAAGCCTGAGGATTTGGATGCCTGGGTAAGCTCTCTTTTTTGTCTGGATCTTGCTTATTCCAAGTGTCATGTTGTTACTGTGCATGTGCAGATTGTTATTGCTGAGCACAGATGCAGGATTTTATTTTCTGTCATTACATTTTAAAAGGTGTTCAGCTAGAAAATTGCATATTATTTCCTCCATAAAGATTTTCACTGGTTCCTTTTGTGTCGCTTACAGCTGCTGAAACCAAACTTGATCTGGTGATGTGTATTGTTGGCTATGAGAGTAGCAGAAACAGGAGGAAATGAAGGTTATACCTGTATTGCTTTTTAAGGCCACGAGTTGCATCTGGTTTCTAAAATAGAGCCTGGTCACCTGCCTTTAATAGAATGAAAGGTAGGACAAAAAGCCAGTGATTTTGTAGGCCCTGTGTCTGGAATAGTGATTGCAGACAGCTCCACAGTGATGGTGATATTTCTGCTGATGCCAGTGGAGGTTAAGTCAAGGCTCCCCCATGGCTACTTGCTTGGTACAAGCCTCCCTGTAAAGTTCTGCTATTCAGTCTTGGGTATGAAGTACACAAATTGCCTCTTACTATTTCAGTGTTGCCCTTTCAGCTCTGCCATTCCCTTTAGACTTGGCCAGGAACATGCCAGCTAGCTAATTTTGGAGTTAGCTCTGTTCCTCAGTGAATTTCTGTCAATTCCTTCTTCTCATCTTGGAGTCCTTAATAGCATTTGTTTTTCTCCCCTGCCACCTGGACTGCTACCAGGACTGGAAGAGACTTGGGAAAGCATGAGGTATTAGAATTTGCAGTTGTGAAATGTGGCAAGCTGAGGTGCCCAGCCAAAACATCTCTGCTGTGCTGCTGCAGAGATGTAACTGTACCTTTGGGGGAAGCTGATAGTTCTTCTCAGCAAAGACAGGATGATGTAGAAACTAGACATTTGATAGACTTGAGATCCTTTGCTTTATCCTTGTAGCTTATTTCCCTGTGTTGCTTCTGACTGATTATCTAGACATCATCTTGCTAGTTTGTGAGTGGTGGAAGTGCTTTGCCAAGAAGATAAATATTTTTGCAGTAATCTTGCCAAGTGCTGTGACTTGCTTTTAGGAAGTATTCATAGGCTGAGGTTTGGACCTTTCCTTCTAGCTTGAGTTGCCCTTTGTAGAGAGAGTTTTTGGGTTTTCTGTCCTCCAGGAGAGTCTTCCCAAATCCCAGAACCCAAACAGTATTGAGGAGAGAGACAGCCTGGTGGTAGCTGTCAGCTGTGGGCTGTTCTAACACTGGATTTTATTCCCAGGTGCCACATTCCTTACCATCATCTGACCCTGCCAATAAGCCTTTTTTTTTTTTTCCAAACAGATTTCCACCCTAGTTTTCATTTTTAACAAGGTGATGAGGTGGGACTGTGATTAAAAATAATAAAAATGTGGTAATACTTTGGGGTGCAACAAAGCCAAAGCTAATCTGGCAATGGTTATAGCTAGAGTGAAGCCCAGCTCTAGATCAGTTGCACAGTCTGATGTGTGGCATGTTAGTGTCAGCTCAGGACATGGCTAAGAGTGTCTGGTTTTGTTCATAGAGAATGAACCAATAATATTTCATTACCTCAATTAGGAGCTTGTAAAATATTTCTTTTGGCCTGTCTGTCAGCTAGCAGGCCAGTGCTTGAATCCTTTAGTTGTGCCAGTATATAATGTATAGCTTTAGAAATGTGCTTGCACTGTTTGTTTCTAAATGGGTTACTTGATAAAGGGAGAGAAAGAGGCAGAGGATCACATAACTCTGCCCTGGCTCTTTGTCACTGTTCAAGGCAGCACTGAGATAACCTGAAAAACCTTGGGCTGCAGAAAAAATGTGAAGATAAAGCAGAGGAAAAATTTGAAAGAACACCCAACCAGTCCATGGATCCATGCCCATGGAAGCTGTAGCAGCATGTTAGTAGTATGCCTTTGCTGTCCTTTTGTAAGAATATAATCCTTGTAAATTCTGACACCATCACAGGGGATTCTTGAGCATTTCTTGAATACGTCTTATATCTAGCTTTTGTACAGAGGGCAATGGCATACATATAAATATATCCCCTTTTCTAAGTTTTGGGTGCATTCCTTTGTTTTACAGCTGAGTATGCCCTTTCTTGCTGGTCGCTATTTTGGTTCTGTGTTCATACTTCTTAGACATCACACTACCTGTGTTCTACACATCCTAGATGTCATCTCTGGCCTTTGGTCACCTCTTGCACAGTATGTTCAAGTTCCAGCATAATTGTGCAGCTTGGAAGTGAAATGCAGCTTTCTAATATCTGATTTTCAAATCAGTGTGTTATCATGCATGTTTTCCCTTCTCCTTCCTTTTAATTCTAAAGGCCTTTTTTCAAAAAGTCTAGTGATACTTTGTTTAGCACTTGCAATCTCAATCCCCTGTGAAATTGTAATCATAGCAGCCAGTTCTGTCTGGGACATCACAGGCTTCTAACTTCAGGTAGGGAATAAGCAGCAGGACTAGGGGAACTCTTAATAAATATCCTATATTCGTTCAAAATGTCCCTAGTTGCCTAACCCAGTTTGGAACAGTGAATATTTCAGATGACACATGCTCTACTATACCGTTTGTACTTCAAACATCATCATAAAGTGCACTAAAGTTTTTAGTAATAACAGCTGGGGATAGAGGGAAACAGAAAGCAACTTTGAAGCAGATCTGTCACAAAAAGAGTGTTTCTCTGCATACTTCAATGCACCGAAACAGCAGCAGATCTTGAAAACAGGCAAGGCATTGAAAATATGTTTGTGTTGCAAGTATGAGGTTTCTCTGTAACCTCTAGTTCATCATGCATTATGGGTGATAAGTAGGACAATGGGGGATAATATGGGAGAAATTACTTTGCGGGAAGAATGGGGAGTACTCTGAGGTTACAGTCTGCAGTTAGGAGATCCAGTTTTGGTTCTTTGACCTCAGTTTTGCAAGACCCTGGGGAAGTGACTAACAGAATGCCTGTGTGCATGGCTGTGGAGGCATTATTCACTGCCAGCTCCAGTGAGGTCAGCTTGGCAGTCCAGGGTTGTCATTGTGCAGAGCAGTGCACTTCTAACGTGTCTGCATCTCAGCACCCTTCTTAAGAGATCAGGTGTTTGGTTTGTGTTCCCTTCCAGAGAAGTTATAAATATAAATGTGTTGGATTTCTTGTGCATGATGTCAGGCAAAGTCACAGGTTGGAAAGTTGAGTGAGCGTGTGGGTTTGGGATCCATGTATTGCCAGAAACAGAATAAAGCCTCTTGAGCACTAGTATTGTTACATTATTGATTTTGTACTTCCATAATATCCACCATCCCTGGAGACTAGCACAAATACATAATTATCTAGATTAAACAGAAACTTTCTTGTGTTTATAAGAATTTATTGTTTGACTCTCTTTTGTTTCTTTTTTTCATCCATCGTATGGTACAGCTTCCATCTGAATCATGCAGAGGGGTCAGTAGTGTCTTACTCTTCTTTCTCTTCCTTACTTATTTTCCTCTTAAGGAAATACAAGTCACTTGTGGAGTAATCTGATTTTATAAGTGTTAGGCAGAAAACCTGCAGGAGAATTGGGTTCTTTTGGTCATCCACCAGACCACCCCACCTTACATCTGTTTCATTTTATTTGAAATTGCTTAGGTCTTTTCTGTGTAGAAGATTGGCTCAGAGGACCAGCTGTGGTTCTCCTACCAGAAAATGGTTATAGTTCTGGCACTTATAGAGTACCCATTGGTGCCCCTATTGTTGCTGTGATATCTCTTTTGTCAGGCTGCATGTGTGGGGCAGCTCATTCTCATCCCTCTCCCCATCCTGTTCCAGCAGGTGGGAAGTAGTATAGCAGCCATAGGTTAAAGCACAGCCAGAGATTTTGCTTTTAATCAAATGCCTTTGAGACAGAGAAGATTTAGTTATGAGTCTCTACTGCTTGGCCCTGTTTTCTGGGATAACAAACATGAAAACCAAAATATTTCTTTAAAAACAAACAAAGAAACCCACATCACTACCACACCCCTAGAATCTTCCTATTTCATATAAGCCTTTTTTTGCTTGCTTATCAACCACCCTCACTGCCTAGATTAAAATCTCTTCTAAGCCCTATTATACCACTGTATTTCCATCAGCAGGGGAGCAGAAAGAAGGACATGCACAGCAACTTGCTTTCAGATGTAATTTTTCTCGTTAGCAATGGCTTTTGGCCGTAAAATGACAGGTCTGAGCCCACGGGGATATTTCTGTCCCAGCTGCTTAATCACGTTGGACCAGCATTTTCTGTGGTTGTGCCATCATTAGAAGTTAAGAGAATGTTGCTGGGATGCTATGGCCTGGCAGGGTTTGTGTCCATGTTAAGCAGGCTAATCATTCTGGTTTTGAAAGGTCTTCTGCCTGCTGCTAACTTCCATGGCCCCAGAGATTTTGAGGTGGGATGGGGGATGTGGAAAAACTGCCATCTTTTCTTGCTATTGCTGCTTGTTATTTTTAAACTTGAAAAGTTGGATTCAGTTCCATCAATGTCATGTTTTCTTAATACTAGTTCAGTTTAGGGGTGGGAATATAATTAAGCGGTGCTGGCTGTAAGGAGCTAGAAGGCTACAGCTGTTGCTGTGCCCACACAGACTTTTTTAATTGAGCACTGTTTAGCTGATGAGTACCAGATTTACTGTTTTGATAGTGCCATGCTTTTAATTTGTAAGATAGAAGAGAAATTCTTTGACAGCCATCTTCCCTCTTGCAGCACCAGCCAGAGGAACTCTGAGGGTACTGATGGGGAATGCACAGAGAGCATGTGGAGAGGGTACTTAATTATCTGGATAGTCCTGTGTATGTCTGTTGTAGGGAAGTATTTAATCCTTAGAAGCTTTTGGACACTCCAAGGGGCAAGGGTTTATAAAGAGGAGGATTTGAGGGGATTTGGTTGGTTTTTTTTAAGGTAAGGGGAAGAACATTTGAGTAATGACTGTCATGATTCATGGAAAAACAGACATGGATAAGATGGAGTTCTGAAAAAGGGAATGGGAAAATGTCACCTTTCTATTATTACATGTTTTCATTTAATAAGAAGTGCAAAACCAAGGGTTTGAGTTTGAGTAGGATGCCAATAAGAGCATTTCAAATGCTGGGGGATAACCCAAAAGAAGCTACAATTCTCAAGGTTTGTACTTCCACTGAGGGGGATCCCGTGCATGAGTCCTGAGCAGAGATTATTTTTTTTAGTCCCTTTTAGTCTGCATCTCATGTGTTTTCCTTGCACTACATTGTTTATTATTAATTTCTTCTTCTCCTGCTGCTGTTTTGTTGTCCCTGCCAGGCTGTGGAGCTGCAAGGCTGGGAGGCAAACCTGAGGCGACAAGAGGCCTTCTACCAAGAGCAGCTGGCCCGCATTGAGAGGAAGGTAAGGCTGCGTTGTCTTCATTTCTGGCCCCTGCAAGGGTAGGACTCAGATCTGTGTGGATCCAAAAGGTGCAGAACCAAAATGTGTTGTGCTGCAGCCTGGAACTGTCAGCTGACAGTATCCTATCTGCCCCCCAACCCTTATGTAAGTGGTGAAAAAGCTGTACAAATCTTTTGAGCAATTTGTGTTTGAAAGATAAAGGTTTTTTTAACTGGATGATTTTAAAAAAGGATTTCTGGTAGTTCAAACTCTATTATCTTTTTTACCATGGGATTTAGGTGAAAGCTAAATTGAAAAAAACAAACAAGTGTCCTGGTTTTTATTCCTTTTGTTAAAAATCCTTTCCTTAATAAAAAAAAATAATCAACCACCGCAACATAAATTTTGCTGTAAATATGAATTAAAGTTGTATTAACAATTTTTCTCTAGGGAGCCAAACAGTTCAAAGAGTGGTGCTGCAGTACACTGCCTGCTTCTTGTTGGATAAGCCTTTGAAATAAACATGATTTAAAGAGACACTGTCAAGCATCTTTTAAGCCTGAAATGACCTTTGAAAATCCATTTAGGGATTTGAATCTCTCCCCTAAACGTGGGATTTGCTTCTCTGTTTAATTGTTTACCATGATGAGTTTTTAAAAATTGATGCCATAAAAATAGGAGCAGCCATGCTGTTCCTTATGAACTAATGTGTTCTTCACTTCCTGGCAAAATGAAATAATGTTATAAGTAGTCTTTATTTTTTAATAAATGTGGAGAATAATCTTCTCCAATTTGAAGCAATTAGACCTCCTGACAGGGAGTTGCATACATTCGACTTGTAGTTGTGTTATGTGACTAAAAAGAAGTGCAAACAATGAAAAGAGTGGGTTGTAAAGAGACCGGGAAATCAATCAGTTTTACTACCAATATGTAGCAGGATGGTGAGTATGGAACATGGGAAAATTGTAGATTATAGAAACGGTGGGGAGCTGTTGGCATATCTATTCCTCTTTTCATTCCCTCCTACTGTATGACTGTCCATGCTGCATTTTTTGAGCCATCAGTGGTAAAACATGCCTGTGAGCAAATTCACACGGTACAATTTTGCAACACTTTAATCTGTACAATTCATTAAAAATAAACTATTAAAACTACCACTCAGTGTTGCATTTGTATTTTAAATTCTATTTCTAGATAATGGGGATTGTTCAGTGAAATTGCAAACAATCTAGCAGCTATCGTTCTAATTATCACAGTTGTCCATATGTTCGTACGCAAGGGGAATTTTTGCAATTTCTTGATCCCATGCTGTTTGCTTCTATTATGTTCTTCTCTCCAGATCTGGTTTCGTGAAGCGGAAATTACAGGGGAAACCTGTGAGCCTGTCCTTTATGGACAGTGGAGTGGGGAGAAGTCTGTGTCCAGGCTGCATTGTCCTCTTTTTGAAATCTTTTGTTGTCGTTTGTGTTTTCAAGTCCACGTCCCTTGCTACAGGGACACCTTTATAAACATCATGATGGGTATTTTAGTGTGGGATCTTCTTGGGGGAGTAGGGTGAGCTGCCCATAGTTTCTCTGTAGCTCTGCAGCTTGAATAGGACTGTCTTCTAGTTGTTATGTGTACAAAAGCAAATAGATAAAAAGAACAGGTTTTCTTTCCTCTCTTGAAACACTGGATAGTTTCTGACCCTTAAAAACTAGCATTTTGCTGGTAATAAAATAGAAGAATGCCTCCAACCGTTAGTCTGGATTGGAGTGGGAGGTGGTGGGGGCTAGAAGGGAAAGGAGAGAAATGTACTTGAAACAGTGTAATAAAGCTTAATTGTATTAGTTTTGAAAAAGGTTTTTGATCTTCTCTGAGGATAATTTTATTCCTATAATGGTTGGAAAGATGGAAAATGCAGCACAGAACAATCTTTTTTATTAGCTGTTGCTTTTATATAATTCTGCTTTTATTTGTTGAATACACGCAGACCTTGACATTTATTTATATATTTTTTCCTTCCGCTGTGCTAAAGCTTTCCAACACAGGCTTAGATATATTTTTGTATATCTGTGTATGTGTATGTCAATATTAGAAAAAAGCTCTCAGTAAGGGGATGGTGGGAGAGAGCTCTGAAATAGAAATTTGCTTTCTCTGCTGTTTTAAAAGGAAATAGTCACTTGAAGTGTGGTCACTGGTAGTTCAGAGGTGTTTGGCTGGGAGTGAATGAATATGGCTCAGTGTGGAGTTAGCAAGCTGAAATTTCTCCTTCTGAGGATCAGGCTATCAGGAATTCCCCTCTCTCCTCCCCTGCTGTGCCCAGGTTGGTTTTGTCCCCACTTCTGCATGATAACAGGATTCAGCAGTAGGAGATTTAAAGATTTGTTTTTGAAGGATGTTTTGAACTATTGATGTTAAAAACTCAGTACCTTCCCAGTAGGATGCTAGGAGTAATTGTGTTACATACTCCTTACAACAGAAGAGCTGCTCAGTGAATCAAACACAGAGACTATCCTGTTTCCTCTGACAGTGGTCAGTTTGTAAAGGCTTTGAAGGAAGGAAAAAAAACATGACCAAAACAAAGTGACAAAAAAAACTTTTGGAGAGCAGCTTTGAGAAGAGCCTTGCTAAATGTTGTCAGTTGGAGGCAGACACTTGCCCTGCTGCACAAGAGTTTATTTTCATTCAGTATTTTTATTCATTGAAAGTTGATTTAGTGCCATTGTTCTTCTGTGCATCTCAGGCATTTTTCCTGTAGTCCTGTTTAGCTCTGTGCCTCCAACATCATGTGGCAGTGTGTGCCACAGGTTAACTTATATACTCTATAAATTCTCTGTTATCAGTTTCAAGTATTTTTTGCATTTAATATCCTTTATGTGAAAGAGATAAAAGAAATCCTCCTCATTATTCATTATCTGCAGACTTCTTTTCCCTCTTTTACCTTTCCATTAAACTGTGCAGTCCTTACCTTTTCAGCCTCTGCTTGTGTGAATGATTTTTTCCAGGTTTCTCATTCTACTTGTTTGTCTTTTGGCTCTTTCCCCCTAGCAGCTCTGTCTTTGAGATGTATTGACCAGAATTGAACTCAGTAGTTCTCTTGAATGCAGCAGATTGTGTGAATACATTATCCTTTTATTTGGTAATCTTTGAAAGAGTACTGTAATCTACTGGACAGAGCACAGAATTGGAAGGAAAAACCTGCTCATTTTCTAATAGCCGTTTCTCTTTTGGGAGTTGGAAACAATTATTTAGTCCATCTATCTCAGTTATTCCATCTATGTGATGGAATAGCTTATAATGGGAGGGCAAAGTGTTGTGAAACAGTAAAGCTATAAAAATGCTAAAAAGGCTTTGCCTTTAGTTTTGCATGAGGTGAACTATAGGTGTACCTTATTTCAAACAGATCTTGAGAAACTCAGTTTCTCCAGACAGTCTTATTAAAATTTTCACGGGAAAAGGCATGTATGAAAAAATGATTGCAGTATTTCAGCTCTTGGGGTTTTCCCTGCATCTTCTACTGAAGCAGTGGGAGAAATGAGACAATGAGTGCAGCAGTTCTGTGTCACAGTGAGGATCCATCTAGTTCAGTGTGCTGCTCCTGCCTGTGACTGAATGTCCAGGGATAACTGTAAGAACTGAACTGATGGGAAAAGAGGCTGTGGAGTCTTCTTCACTGGAGACAGTCAGGGAGTATCTGGACACAATCCTGTGCCTTGTGCTCTGAAATGACCCTGCTTGAACAGGGAGGTGTGGGACCACGTGCCCCATTATGGTCCCTTCCAACCTGACCCATTCTGTGATCAAAGCAAGGTTATGGGGTATTTGCCCCAAATGCTTTGACCATCCTGGCCAGTCATTTTTGGAACTTCTCCTCACGTGTTTAATGCTCAGAGGGCTGTGAACCAGGACTGTGTGCACAGCGCTCGGGATGCGGGGGGACCCTGAGCGTGTGTGGCAGCTGTGTCAGAATCACTGTTTGGTTCTCTGTTTCTTTGTAGTGCCTGACACTTGATTTGCACTTCTGACTTGTGTTGAGCAAATGCCACACACTGCTGCTACTGGCAGCATTCCTCTGTTTTGAGTGCAGACTTGAATATATACAGTGGGTGTACTGGGATTAAGGCAATGTTGGGATTAGTTGCTGGGAATATTCTTCCCTCTGCACCCTTCATTGTCAGTTTTTCAGGGGCTGTGTGTGTGGGAAGGGGTGGTGGGCTTTGTTCTGCCTGCAGTGTGGTGCATGCTTCTTAGAGATTATTTTAATCAAATTTTGTTGAACAAATTCCTTGCAGAGGATCATTACACCAGTAAAACCCTTCATCTTCCTCACTTTAACTCTGATAGTGTGTTGTAGTTATGTGTTTCTGTCTCTTGGGTCACATGTATGTTTATGTTTTGAGGTGCCTGAAATATTTTGGTAGTCAGGAAGATGAGAGGGAAAAGCTCCTTTGAAATGACTGTTTCTTGTATGACTGGGTGTGATTGCAGAGTTGGAGCTGGTGGTACAGACATTCCATTCCACACCTGTGTTTCCAATGTGACTGTTTCATCTCCAATAAGTAATCCAGTAATGAGACCTGGCTAATTTATTATAAGTGGTTAAACTTCTAACTCTGACTTGTTCCAGTAATTTTACACCTCATCCATGTAATTTGAATTATTTCATAAAATGTGTGTCTTCTCTTAACTGTTTTGAATGAGGTTTTGTACTGTAGTGTTCCTCTGGGTAGAAAGAATGAGAGTTAGACTAATAATCTGTAGGGAGAACCTGAGACACACTCAATTTGAGAAGCTCAAGATGATGTTTTTTCATGCATTTATTTGTTACTGAGAAGCAGGGAGGGAGATGGAGGCAGGTTGTTGTAAATAGGTACCATATATACTGCTCAGAACTGGGATTTTTATTAGGGATTCTGTCTATTCTTTCTCCAAGTAGTAGAAAGGTCCTTAAAATATTGTAAGAAAGAAGTGCAGTCTCTCCTGGAACCCTTCAGATGCCAGGAGATTTCACTTAGCATATTAGTTGTATACTTTCTCTC